TTTTTTTTTTTTTTTTTTTTTTTTTTTTTTTTTTTACTTCTTTCAGGCAGGTGAATAGAAGATGGTCAAGGCTTAAATGGGTTCACCATTTTGACATAGACTTTTGGGGTTCTGATCTCTGATTCTTTTCCCTTTTTCAGTGCAACACCCCGACAATATATCTTGCGGTTTAGCAATATTCTCCTCAATAAGTGAGCCAATCTGTTGTTCTCTTCAAATGTATCATACATTATGAATAAGTTTTCCATTGTATCTGAAAGCGATCTAAATTTGTTCGATTTTGATTTGGAAAGAAAAGGGAGAGAAGGGGAGGAGTGGAGTCTTTTTTATGCTATTTTCAAATGTAATCACTTTTAAACGATAACCAACTATATTTATTATTGAAAGTGGTTGAGTCAACGGGATTTTAATGACCGCTTAATAACATCACACAGTGAAAGTGGCAATAAAATAATTGATTCATAATCTTATGCTCAACCCAAAAATATATAACATAGATGAGGTTGTGAGGCTTGGCATTACAAATAGAACAACAATAAGTTAATGACTAAAGAGATGATAATAGAAATTTTTAACATATGTAATAATATTTATATATAAAAGTGTACTCTGTAAGCGATAAAGCGATAAAGCGATAAATGATAATGAAGAGAAACTTGTATGTTAGAATATGTAAGAATCGCGGTTTAATTCGAACATGATCTTTTTCTCACTTGCTTTTTTCATTAAAACTAAAAATTTCAAAATTTTCTCTTTGCAAAAAAAAAAAACAAAAAACAAAAAACAAAACACTTAACTTAAAGGGTCAAATTTGTATGGAGAATTGAGAAAGGTATTGAGAGAAAAGGAAGAAGTGAGACATAAGAAGAACATCTGCGAAGGTTCTTGTAAGTTTGTCATTATGCGAGTTTGTTTTTCTTTTGGCAAAATCTTTTACTAAAATATATTTTTCAATAAAATTGAATTGTTTTATTTACTAATATTAGTCATTAGTTAGGTTATAATGTAACAAAAGTTTCTTGTGGTTTCTTTGTTTTCCTCATTGTTTATATTAACATTAGTTATTTATAATTATTTTGACGTTAATTTTGTTGTTTGTTTTTTTTTTATTGTTGCCTTTTGATTATCTCTCGATTGCATTTTTCAGTGAAATGTATGTTTAAAGAAAGTGGCGCCAAGGAAGGCATTATCGATGTTCTCTTGGAGTTCATATTAGGTGATAATCCAAATACGGTGTTGGATAAGCTTAGCTCTGAGGGTGCCACGCAGTCTGTATGTGGTAAAGTATTTAAGATGGGTGAGCCTACGTACAGTTGTCGGGAATGCGGCATGGATTCCACCTGCGTCTTATGTGTGAGTTGCTTCAAGCAATCGGCTCATCGCTATCATAAATACAAAATGTGCACTTCAGCCGGTGGTGGATGTTGTGATTGCGGGGATGAGGAGGCCTGGAAGAAAAATCCTTACTGCGAACAACATTTGGTAGGGCTTTTTACGCATTTTACTCTTTGTCGCTACTTAATATCATCTAATATTATTTTAGCGTGGCAAAGAAAATAATACAAAAAGCGCCATAATAACAGATGCTATTAACGAACGTTGCGAAATAGCTTTTGCCGCCATATTATCATTTTGTGTAAATTATTTGGAAATTGAATCAAAGGCCAGTCTTGAATGTTTGGATGGAGAAGGTGCTGGCGATGATCATTTTTGTACGGTTCTCTATAACGATGAGTCACATACATTCGATCAGGTCATACAGACTCTAACAAAAATTGCCAAATGTCCGACCAAAGATGCTGGCGAAATTGTAGCTAGTATAGATCGTGAGGGACGTGCTGTGGTTAAATGTGACGGTTTTAGTGAATGCAATCTGCTAAAAGAGGCCATCGAGAAGCAGTCAGTACCTCCGAATGTGCCAATGGCACCAGCTAGAGCCAATCAATCATTGCGCGTTTCAGTTTTGCATGTACGCGCTGTGGCTTGTCAGCAATTTGCTTTGCAACTATTGACCTGGTTCCAAGAGTTTTTGGTACGTCATAGTACTTTCCGTCAAATATTTGCTCGTGTAATTATGGACAAAAAAGCTCCTTATTGCATACGTCATATACTTGAATACGATGTGAAATTATGGAAATCGGCTCGTACCTGTTGGCATCGTTTACTGATTTCGGGCATGCTAATGGAATATGATAATAAAATGGCTTTGGCTCAAGAGTTTTCCAAAAACTACGCTACAATAGTGCAAGATTTTATTAGTGATGATCACGATCATTCATTTTCCATTGTTTCACTGAGTGTTCAGCTGTTTACCGTGCCGAGCATATCGCACTACTTGATTGCTCGTGAAGGCATATTTCATAAACTATTGCACACATTTTATCATCGCTCAATTGAGGAATTCGTACAGAATAAGACCTTACAATTTTCTAAACACGTTTCGACCGCCAGTTATTTTAAACGTGCCTCCTATATACTTTATGATTTGCGCTATATTCTCAGTTTCAAACCAGATGTTTGGACAGATGAGTTGCGTGAAGGTTTTATTGAGGGTTGCAAGGCTTTGTTGCGCGTTTTGAATGCTATGCAAGGCATGGAGTCAATTACACGTCAGACGGGTCAACATATGGACTACGAGCCAGAGTGGGAGTGCGCTTTCAATTTACACATTAAACTAGCAAGTGCTATTACCTTAATACTCGATTGGTGTGCTACAGATCGTCAGGTTTTAATTAAACTTTATCAGATGGTTATGCGCTATTTGTGCTCCAACGGCTTTATTGTAGGCGATATTAAAACTGAAGAAAAAACGGTAGCTGGTCATATTGCCAAATGTTTAATGTACGACGTGTCTTCATCACCCGTGTCTATACACTTGCCGTTGTCACGATTTTTCGCCGGTGTCTATTTACATTTGGGTAGTTATGATTTGAATTTTGATTCGTTAACCTTCGCCAAGCGTACACCTGAAGAATTGATGGAACCAATTCTTTGTACTCAAACAATGATAGCTCAGGTCAGTTTCAAGAGTAGGAGGAAATAATTGAAAAAAAAATTGCTATTTCTAACTATTACTAACAATATCTGTCCGATGGAGTCACGATAGTATATCGTTTTTTCGACGTCCTTTTATCGAACAAGATATCGTTATAGATATAGAGTTCATACAACCTTAAAATATTAAATTAGCTTTTAATGATAACGAAATTTGCTTCATTTGATTTATGACGTATAGGTACATGCAGGTATGTGGCGTCGTAATGGTTATTCGTTGCTGCATCAATTATATTTTTATCGTAATGTGCGTTGTCGCACCGAAATGTTAGATCGCGACATTGTCGGAATGCAAATTGGTGCTTCATTAATTGAAAGCAATCAATATCTTATACATCTCCTAAATAAATTTCGTTTAATCGACTGGATACAACCCGATTACGAAGAGAACGCTTCTGTTTCTGCTTCGGATGATGACTTCATACGACAACTGTCAATGATTGATGAGTTTTTGGAATTGCTGATTGTAATTATCGGTGAACGTTACATGCCAGGTGTAGCACATGTCACTGAAGATGATCGGACTAAAAAAGAAATTATAGAGTTGTTGTGCATAAAGGCTTATTCGCATTCTGAATTAAATAGATCTCTACCAGATTCGAATAATGATACTGTGCTAGAAGATGTAATCGATTCGGTCGCCGTGTTTCAGAAGCCGCAAAAATATGACGCTAAGGGTGTTTATAAATTGAAAGAGGAATTGTACGATGAGTACAATATGTATTTTTATCATTACACCAAGGAAGAAAAATCAAAGTCTGAAGAAACGCAAAGGGCCCGACGAAAAGCCAAAAACGAGCTTGTATGTTGTCCACCGCCAAAGTTGCCCAAGTTAACCGATTCCTTTATGTAAGTTACATGAATCGATTACATAAATTGTTTTTTGGTTTTTTTCAATTTTCTCATTATATTAGAACTATTGCTAATTTACTGCAATGTGACGTGATGATGCATCTTATAAATACAATTTTGGAAAGAGCTATAGATCTAAAGACTAAAGGTTTTCAAGAAAATCATTTGCAAAAGGTTACTATCTGCAGAGAGTGCTGCTGTTTGTTTCTGAAATCTTAAATGATTAATAAACAAAACAATGCGATTTCTTTGCAGGTTTTGCATCTAATCGGCTATGGTCTACAAGAAGAAGAGTCCGGCCATTATCCGTTTTTGTCATTTTATGAACGCTCTCAAAAATATAGACTATTACAAAAGTTAGAAGAACTCTCACATAGCGGACGTGTTAGTGTTTCCATTACTATACTCTATAAAAATGAATATTTATGTGATCTTTTCTTTGTCGACGAACAGGTTGAAGCTCATCGTGATTTCATTTTATGGATTATCCGTAAATTTAAAGAGTTGCAATCTAAACAAGCTTCCTATCAAGCGGAACGTATGCAAAGCGACGATATGGAAGTTCCTAATCAGACCAATGATGCCGATGCCAATGTTCCTCTGACCACTGCCGAACAGGAGAAACTTGAAAAAGAAGAGCGTGCACGCTTGGCTGCTGATCGTCGAGCCAAAATTTTGGCACAAATGCAAAATGCCCAGAAGAATTTCATGAAATCCCATGCTGAAATGTTTGCCAACGCTAATGATGTGGCTACTGCTTCAACTGATTCATTGGTAGTCAGCGGTGGTGGTGGTGGTGGTGGTAGTGGTGGTGGTGGTCTTAGTATGGAGTGGCAAGATGATTCTGCATTAGAGGGTGCTGTAGCTTATAACTCAGTCGCTTGTTTGGGTGTAGAACGACGTCTACAGCAACCGGAGGAGGAGAAATTTAGTTGTATCTTGTGTTTTGAAGAAGCTATCGTTAGCAAGGATGGTCCGACACTAGTTTACTTGGCTTTTGTTCAACAATCAAAGGTATTTTTAATATTCTTTATCGTGGTCGAATAGCAAGCAATAACCCTAAACCTTTAAAAAAAAAAAAAAAAAAAAATTACCGTTTAGTTTAGGCTAAGTCGTCACATAAGATGCATTTTTTGAGAAATGAAAGATCGAGTTGGCTTTTATTAGAGACTTTCTCATTGTGTTCGTATGTGTTTTTTCCTCCAAGACGCTTACAATTATGCACATATTCTATATACAGTTTATTATGACAGACTGAAACGTTTTGTACAATGTATAATATGCATACTTACAGAAGGAGACTGACTACCTCTCAGATATTAATGATAAATTAATTAGGTTTTCGACGTAATTGAAGTGTTCGGTAATGTAAAAAAAAAAGGGGATGAAAATCTTTTAAAATTTCTCTCCATAGGTTCTTAAATCTGAACGCAATTATCCCACCTCTTTGCATACCAGCAGCTGTGGCCATGTAATGCATGTAAATTGCTGGCAAGAATACTATAACAATGAAGAAACCAAAGAATCACGTCGTCCTCGACGTTCTCTATTAATATCTTCCTCCGCTAACACTGAATTTCAGTGTCCATATTGTCGCTGCATGAGTAATACGGTTCTTCCTTTAACGGTTCCCTTATCCAAGTACTCTATACCAAACGTTATTCACGCCGGGGACGAAATGTTTCCCATTGACTTGTGGATTGAAACTATGCGTGCTTTCGGTGATAAATTGCAAAGTTTGGTTGACGCAGAAGACACCGATATGTGGTATTATAATTTACCATATTGGTTGGCAACCGTAAAGGAGGCTCATATATTAACGGATCCTAAGTTGTTTGAGATAATGTCGCAGCCTATAAAGCGACCAGAGATACCAGAAAGTTGGAGTTATTTCGTTCAACACTATGTAAAAACTTTAAGTAAGAACGATGAAGAGGGTCTTCTATCTATGTGGCATTCGTGTACTTACACTATACAGTCATTAGAAGTTTACTTAAGAGCTGTAGGCAAACCGTTAAAAGATGAGATGTCAATACGTCACAAAAGTTGTTTGAGCGGCCTGATCAGAGCGTGTTGTTTGTCCTCTGCTAATTTGTCACAGACCGATATCAAAAATTTGATTAAACCGGTTAATGACCTCTTGAATATGGTTTTAAAACAACAGGGTAATTCAGTGCTCGAATGGGATTGTTTCGGTGAAATGCTTTTAGCCCTGTGGATGGTTCCCAATATATTGTTTGCATATGATCGTAAGTGTTTTTCTAAGGCAATTATTGTAAAATTTTATTATTGACGCAAATTGCAGATCGTACAACCGCTATTGTGGTTAATGGCAGCCTAATGGACTTCTATACCTTGCAAATATTCTTTTTGGCCAATGTCGTTAAGGCTGTAGTATTGTTTGAAAAGCCAGTTGACGGTCTAATGGACGTTGACGAAGAATGTATTGAATTATCTCAAAAGGCTAAAGAAAATGTTACTGCTTTTTTCAATAAATACAATGTAGAAACTCGTCAAAAAGCACAGCAAAGACAAAAGGCAGAAAGTAAAACTATTGCAGAATCGATGCCAGAAGAAAATAACGATGAAGGTATGATTGAAGTGGATGGCAGCCAAGCGGAATGCTCTTTACAAACACTAAATGCTTTGCTGGATTATATTAAGACGGAAATGCGTGAATTTTTACGTTGTTGCTGTCTCTTCTTTCACTTTGTCACCGATGTCGAATTTCCAGATTTTCTGGCCGACAATGGAAGTGACACTTACGACAATATGTGCAAGTACTTGGGCTTAAGTACACAGTTGGAATCGTATTTTGATACGGAAAGCCCTTTCGCTACAATATTAGAAATGTTTGCCTCACATCCGGATATTACAAATCTTGAGGTAGTGACCACGAAAACGAAACGTAATAATCAACCATTGCGAATAGTACCCTGCACTAGAGCAATACCGCAACTGGTATCGTTGCCAGAGGATTATAGCGATTTAATCAATAGTATCTCAGAATTTAGTTGTCCTAATAACGAGCGCGAGGAAATGAAAACGCCCACCATGTGCTTAATTTGTGGTGAAATTTTATGCGGTCAGTCGTACTGTTGTCAACCCGAATTGCACGAACGTCCAGTGGGCGCCTGCACTTACCATGCATACTACTGCGCTGCGGAGGTGGGACTCTTCCTTCGTATACGTGACTGCCAAATCGTTTATTTAGGCAAAAATAAAGGTTGCTTTGTACAACCACCATATCTGGATCAATACGGTGAAACAGATATGGGCCTAAGGCGTGGAAATCCATTGAGATTGTGTACAGCGCGTTATAGTAAAATACACTTGACATGGTTGGGTCATGGCTTGCATGAAGAAATTGCTCGTGCCAATGAACATGCGTCCACTGCTGGCACTCAGTGGCATCATATGTAGTTCAGATGGTAAGCTGACGAACTGACATTAAATATGTTGTTCTCGGATTTTTTTTTTTTATTAGCCACAATAAGCAGCAGTTAATGTGATTATATATAATAATTAAACTAACAAAAGAAGAACAAAATACCCTACCTAGTACTCCTAATATTAATATAACTAGCACTACTAGTGAAAACACTTATAGAAAACAGTGTAGAGTTGTAAGTTCTCCCATACTTACGCATAGCGCTACATTTTGAGACTAGTACTTCATTTATTTAAGCACTTAAGTTGGCACTGCCTAGATAAAGAGCAATGACGATGGAATGAATAATTTCATAAACTATATATCCAGACGTATAGACGCATAGACGCATAGACGCATTGTTTCGCAGTGTTAGCTGTGCCAGTTGCCCAATTTTAATATTAGTTCCAAATTATTTTATTTCTTTTTTTTTTTTTTTGTTTTTAATGAATGGCAGCTCATTTTGTTAATTTATTTTTATAACCAAAAAATTAAGAATTTCTACTCTATTAATAAATAAAACATAAACAAACAACAACAAGAACCGGTGAAAAAAAAAACTTAAAAATAACGATACCTTGACAGCAATTGAAATGTTTGGTGTTTGCGTTTCTGTTCCGTTTCTTAAATAATCTTTTCCGGACTTTACTTTTACTGGCTGCACAGATTTTTTGATTTTCACACCATTAATTAACATTATGTACACACATATAAACTGATTAAAAATTATTGCTCCGATATTCAGTCACTGTTTTTCTCCTTTTGTTAAACTTAAATAATATATTTAACAGTAAACAACTTAAGAATCTGTAATTTACAAGAAAAAAAACACAAAAATAATAATAATAATAATAATAATAATAATAAAACTATGTTAAATTCAATAAATTATTACACCTATAAATAAATTGCAACGAAATGGAGGTTTTAAATTAAAAAAAAAAAAAGAAAAAAAATTAAAAATAACTTTCAGATTTCAGATTCATTACTCTTTCGATTAATATATGAAAAAGATTGTAAATGAGAAAAAGCCGAGTATAGGTAAATTGACATAAACGAACTGTACGAGGAAGGGCAGTACAGACCATTTTGAAATGAACGCTAATCGATGCTATTTACCACAAAACAACATTTCAAATAGTTTAGCTTGAAAATCGCATTTAGGAAAATTATGTGAATATCTATCTTACTCAATAAAATTATTATTCACAATGTTGATGTATTGAAAGCATATAGGTATCCTACAAACATATTCAAATATATTGGTAGAGAAGTTAATTTTAAATGCAAACGATAGAAATGATCTATCCGTCTGATAGCTAGCTAGCTAGCTTCATCTCAGCTTTACATAACAAGTTAAATAACTAAATATAAAGAGATTGATGTTTTAACTCGGCCTCAAACACACCTATCGCGTTTTCGATTAGTTGCCATCCTCGCTTGGGAAAGCAAGTAAAAACTTATAACTGGGAAGTAATATGTTACGATGTTATGTCAGATAACGACTTGAAACATCATCTATGTCTATGCGGAAATACACTTGTGTAATTGCAAAGAATGATTAACTTAACTTAACGTTTTCTTTTTCGAGTGAACACTGAACAATACGATCCCATCTAGGGCGACAAATATGTAATGATCGCGTTGGACGATTGGAACAGCTTTTATGTAAAATATATCGAAAATGTGCGAATTAAAATTTAGCTTTTTGTCATCATTTTTATCAAGTTTTTCGTAAGGGTCGCCTCCCACGACTATAATAACCCAAAAGTTCATCTTTATAAAATACATATGTGACAATATCTTATGCCGCAAAGAAAACTATAAACTTTGTATGGCCACATGGTCCCATTGGTATGTACAATATAACTTTTCAAATTTGACGCCCGTGAGCATAGTTAAACTTCAATTACCTTTTATGTAGGATATTTAAGAGCCCAGAGATCAGTACAGTGATAATTGCAAAATAAAATTGAAAAAATTATTCGATATTCACATGTTAACTGACAATTCTTTTATAGGGAACTAGCATGACTGCTAGCATGACTGCTAGCATAAGAAAAATCACAAGGCTATTGCGCAACGTCTTCTCTAAACAAAATCAATAACTTGGTGCTTCCGTAATTACATACATCGATCTTACGTAGTTAGCTTTTTGAAGAAAGGTTTTTTAAATCCATGAAAGTTGTCGGTGATAATGAAAAAATGAAAAGTGACCTGTGTCGAATAATGCAAAGAACATGTCAACCTGGTCCACTAAAGTATGACTGAATGCAAAATCGCACAAATGGTACTACATGGTGCTAGAGATCGTCAGTGTAATAAAAAATATGACATCGAAAGACCTATAAAACTAAAAGAATATGGTGAAGTTCGAATAGTGGCGTTACGACAGAAGATTTTCATTCATTGGGGAAACAATATTGCGGTTGAGAAACGTATCTGTGAATCTATTGGGAAGAGCGATGTACGACGACAAATGTCTTTAAAGATGGCATGATGAAGTTTTTACAACGACAAATGAAAAAAATTATAAAGAAAAATTCATCATATGTATGTATGTGTACACATACTTACATTTGTACAAGCGAGATTTGTTTTGAAGTTAGGTGAGTGTATAAATGGAAAAAAGTTTTATTAAAATATCTTGAGAATCTTGTAGATTTCATGCCGCATCTCACTTAATTTGGCTTGAGAGAAGAATCTGCCATCCAATACTTACTAGTAAAATAAAATATGGCTAATTTGTCATTAGAACGAAAGCAAGTTAATCAAATGATCCTATTATCTGGTTGTTTTCGGCTCTTGCAACAAAATTCAAAGTAACACATTCTTGGATTAAGATCTCCTAAGACCAATAAATAGCGAAAAGTCTGTAATTCGCCGGCTAAAATTTCATGCCATTAGGACCGTTTATTAGCGAGTTACCATAGTCCGAATTTTGTATAAGTATAAGCGGGATAAAACACCGTTATCTATCTATAGTGAATTTAGTACCGATTTGAAAGACATTGTAAAGTTATCTAAAACCAATACTTTTCTGAATAGTTTTGGGCATGAGAAATTTGCTCTCCAAACGGGTACCGTCTCTAGTCGCTAGTCCAGGAAAGCAAATGCATTGTGTCGTGAATCGATAGCTGTTATGGCTAATTTGCATGAATTGAATTCGAATTGTTTGCTACCCTATCAATCGTATTAGCCGCAACGCAAATAATTTTTTTATTTTTTTTTTTTGCAAGTACTTAGTGGGGGGCGAATGTTCCAGGTGAAAAAATTTCGATTGAATGATGTAACCGTGAAAATGGAAGCGTATTTTGAGGGTCTTTTAAAAAAAAGAAGTAAGAGCACTACAGTCGAACATAGCCACCTTTAGGGTACCGCAAAACAATTTCGCCTAATGCATTTATTCACTTGTTTTGGTAACAATACATCACAAGTTCCACATTCTTATTATACAGAGGTACACTTTTCATGAAAGCCCGTACTTGGCTTGGTCCAAATTTTACGAACTTGATTTATTTCCTAAAAACTTTTTAAAATCTTTCAGTTTCCGTCACAAAAAACAAAACCGACATTCGGTTTCTTTCCATATTAGGGCTTGCTTTCGTGATAATTCCTATATATATATATGTATGTAATTGGCCCAAAAGATTGATCCCAAATTCCCTATCTAAAATTCCCTAAAATTTTTGTGCTAATATTAAATCTTTTTCTGAGAATTCTTATATGATAATATAATTCTTCTCTAAAGAATAGACAGACTGATCTGGTTCAAATTTGGTGCACTTAATTTTTATGGCAAATTACGATCATGAGCAAATTTTCATCGCAAAACATTAAAACTATTAGGCCTTTTTGGCGTATAAATGTTTACGTTTCATGAGAATCCTTATGTGCGACGTCCAAGAAAAGTACCTATGTGGTTTAAATTCGGTAAGTTTGATTTCTATATCAATTTACTATTGTGTATCAATTTTGATCATGAAATCTTGAAAATTGCACCTTTTTGCAATATAAAGATTCAATTTTCGCTGGAACGGCTATATGCGGGGGGGAGTTCAAAAGAGTTGTTGAGAGTTTGAAAATTGTAATTTTTTTCCTTATAACGATTTTTTAAAGTAAGGTGTTATATGGGGAATGGTCGAAAAAATGATTCGATCCGAACCATTTACAGCAATGTTCGTCCTTGGGTCAAAGGAAGTCGGTGTGCAAGCTTCATTAAAATGTCTCAAAAATTACGACCTGTAGGTTAAACACAAAAATTCATGGACACGTAGTAAATGGACAGATAAGCTTAGATTTATGCAGAATCATGTTCTGTTCGGTGCGTCTATCTTAGCCCCTCTATACATTATATACACTCGAACAAAGTTAATATGCCCCGTACCGCAAGTGGTGTAGCGTACAAAAAAAAATCTTCGAAATATCAGAGAAGAAGTCATTGCATGGCCTTTGATGAAGTCTATGCTGATAAATAAGGCCGGATATTGTGAAAAATAAATTTTTTTTTCTTCAACTTAGGTCGGGGAATTACTGTTTTGAACTATTAAAAAATAAATGATAAACATCGTTTGTTTCGATTTCTTCGAACTTTTAAAGAAAAAAAATAATTCATAAAATTTCTTGATTTATTTATCTATTTTGCGTACGTTATCTTACAAATTTTATTTTACAAGTACAATATGGTTGCGTTGTGTATTGCGTGAATTTTGTAAAAACATCTTTATTAAAAAAAAAAGGTAAAAGAACATTTGAAAGAAATAAAGTAAGTATACGTGTATGCATCGTCATCATAAATTAAGTATAATTTACATTATAACATTTTCGACTAGATGAATTGAATTGGAAGATGAAAAAGAGATTTTTCTTTTAAGTGTATATTTACATAATAAATTTGTCGTGAATTTGCTTGCGAATATTTAAAATTCACTTATAGTGCGTATTGTGTCCGTATTCATAAAAAGGCAAACAATTTCGATTTATTATGTTATTATTATTAATATTATTAATATTAATTGTTATTATTGTTATATTATTATTTGTGCCTAACGTAACTGATCGGGTTACGGATAATTATTAATATGAACTAAAACAAAAAATACTTTAATAACATATATATATATATATATATATACAGTAAAAGCTTCTTATTCGCGGATTAAAAAAATGCGACCCAATTCCTATATTCGCGGCTATAAATTTCCGCGATCGGTGTTTTTGAGAATGTAAACAAACCGAATGAAAGCAACCGTATCACTCAATGAATAAAGTATATTTTTATATATGTTTGATTTTTTTTTATTTTGTCACCTGGGAACGTATTCCCTGTGTACTCCCATATAAATTAACATTCCGTATTCACGGTTTCTGTATTCGCGGCACATGTACCCCGCGAATAAAGAGCTTTTACATTGGTGTGTATGTAGAACTCATTGATGAATAATAATAATAGTGTAAAGAATTCTTTCATCATTTATCTTTGTACGTAAATGCAGATTTTTCATTAAAACACACACGCACTAATGAAACATTTTGTTAGACAAAATTATTTCAATATCTTTAGAATCTCTCTCCTATGAGCAGCTTTGGAGAATTGTTTTTTTTTTTTTTTTTTTTTTTTAAATATGCAGAGTGGTAGGTAGACTATTGGAAGAGACTGAAGGTTTTTGCGTGGATTCTGATTGATCTTTGCTTTGTTCAATATCAATCATTAAACAGTCGTAAGGCGGTGGTGGTATATCGAATTTAACTACACTATCATAGCTCGGCGGCAAACTGTCCACAATACGCAAAATATCATTTTGGGAATTTATCTGTTGATAATAATAAAAAAAAAAAGAAGCACAACAAAAAGAAGAAGAAGAGAAAAAAAAATAATAATATAATTTCGTATATCATATATTGTAGGGTATAGCTTACGTGTCGCATATTACGTCCATGACTTGAACGATGACTTGCTGTCTCATCTATGGGTCCTGCCCAAATACAAACACCCATACGATGCGTTACATAGCCGCATATGATGACACTCACTATTAACATGCCAATGCCTAAGGCGAAGACAAGCCATCTACTTTCTGGACTATTGGCCATATCGTGAAGATTCTTCTCCAATTGTAGGGCACATAATATTAATACGGGCACGGCTATGATCGCAACCAATAAATCAACCACTGGTCTCTGATGATTCATTCTATTGGTTGACATCGTTGATGATAAGCCAGTGATGAGAGTGCTGCCCCTGCTAGTGTTATTAACAGTGTTTGTGGAATTTATAGTAAGAGCCGCAATGGTATTATGATTTTGAAGAACCATACTGTACATGAAAAGTATACAAAAAGTGGACTAATTGTCAGGCATATTTTATAATGAAATTATTTACTTTTTTTTTTTGTAATAATAATGAAAATTTTTTTTTTTTTTTATAATACATATGACGCGTTGAACAAAGTCTTTTCATAGAGGCTTTCGATTTTCATTTTCTTTCCGATCTGCCATATTTTAATTTATGATTTAATTTGTTTTGATCAATTTTTCTAAGCTAGATTTCATTATCGTTTGCAATATATTTCAAATTTCGCATCAAACTTTGTGTTTAAATTGAGGCTAACGAAAAATATGTAATTTATTGAATCTCTGTGGAGTAAATCTCGTACTTTGATACTTCAGGATTGGGAAGGAAAATTTATTAGGTAGAACGCAGTTGACGACAATGCCATCACGAGAATGTATTTAATTTACATGGATGGGATCAAAGAGTAGCAGTTAGAGGCTGCGGGGGTTTAGCGAACTATTCCGTGATGCATATCAGCCGTTTTTGGGAAAAATCAGTGAGAGTTCAAGGTGCCACCTTTTGATAGGATGTATACGGGTCGCCGTTAATTAAAAATTATACGGTATAACTTTATCACTTTTCAAAACTGTTGTCCACATGTCGCCTATACCTTTGACCTCAGTCAATCTGTCATAATTTCATCATTTGGTCATAACTAATTACTCAACGTAACGTTTTTCCCCATTTGATTATTGTGGGAAAAATATATCATCATTATGGAAATAGACGCAAAAAAACCCAACTGTTTATGAAATCGCAAACAGCAGTTGTAATCGGAGCATTTCGTTTGTAACTAAAGCATTTCATCTGAAATTAAAGAACGACTAACAACGTGCAATATTTTATATAGCGATAGATTTTAAAAACTATTTATGCTAAATTGTGTCTTAATAAGCTTGAAAATAATAAATAAATCAATATATGTGTAAATAAATAGAATTTTGAAACAGAAATCGAAGAGAAACACAACTAATTATTCTAAATACATTTACCTTGAAACAACGAAATTGGCTGAAATTAATAAATCTCCAGGTAAGCTGAAACGCATTGTTTTTATTCGCTTGTATTGTATTGTAATTGTAAGCTTGTAATGCTTATTGATTCGCAATTTTTGTTTGTTATTTCTTTTATATTACAACGTAAATACGAATATGTAAACAAATAAATGGCTTTTTATATTTTTTTTTTATTATATATTTTGCATATATTTGTAATGAAAATGAAATGAAGGTAACTAACTAAAAAAAAAAAAAAAAAAAAAAAGAAAAAGGAAGACAAGTAAGAAAGAAAACTAAATATTAGGTGAAGCGAAAAGTTCTCTCATACATGAAGGCAAACATTCGAAATAATTGAAACGTATTGAGTAAGTTACGAAAGTGAACCTTTAAATATTGACATTTTAGATAGATTGTGTGCTAATTGTGAACTTTAATGGGTAAATCGGTAGCTTTATGATTTCGATGTCTTAAATGGCTTTAAGTTCCAAGTACTATGGAATTATTATGGCAAATTCTGTATTCGGCTTTAGTCAAATATATATATATTTATTAACACACAAGAAAACAAAACAGAAGGAAATTTCGACATTCGATAATATTTCATGGGTTTGGTCGATGGTTTCCAATTTCTTGTTTTTCACTCACCGCAAGATCATTCTCATTCATTATATACGTGGTGTATCTATCTGTTACATTTTCTGATTCTAATTGGCAAACAATTCAATGTTTTTCCTTTTGAAAGCGGAAATGTTCTCATCTCGTATTGATCGATTGGATCCATATTCAACATCAATCGATGTGCAATCTTTATGCTTGGATTTTGTGACCAGGAGAATTTTTTCCACGGTCATTACGTGCACGGACGGAGAGACAGACATGCTTAGAACGATTCAAGATTATTCATAAATTACAAGGTCTCTAAAGCTCCCTTCCGGGTGTTGCAAACTTTTTGAAAGAAATCACTACGATCTCGTTCTTTGGCGGCTTTTCGCCTTCATTTTCCAAATTCCTTCGTGCTTATTAATGCGTTTATTTTTTTCAATTTAGTTTTAAAAACAATCGCATTAGAATCTTACAAACGCAGTGATTACCATTTTTCACCAAAGAACGAACATCAGATAAAATAAATTTTGTTGAAAAGCTCCCGAAAAACTTGTAGGTTGTTTAAGGGAGAAGATAGTAGTTTGTGAAAGCAAAATCAAATGATATGGTGGATGTTTAAGAATCGAATGCATATCTTATACTAGTATGATGAAATTACTCTTGAATTCAAATTTTCGTATGTATAACAAGCACATCGTTTACAACTACAAGAGGGATGTGATGTAAAAATACTTATATTTAAGAAACTTTAAAAAGATTTACAATTATTTTCCAGCATTACAAAATAGAAATCAAAAGTTTTTTTCACTTTGAGAACTTTTACGCGGTAGAAGACGTGAAGTGATTTGACTCGAACTTGGCAAAATTAATCCGCTTATCAAAGAGCTTGCTATTCTTCATCTATTTTCATCATAAAGCAGTAAAAATTCGGTTTTTTTTCTCCTGCAAAGGCGTACTTTCCGTGAGTACTCGTATATACATATATGTATGGGGGAAGATTCAAAAAACAGGGCAACTTGTGGCCAAATTTTGTGTAGCTAATTATCGCGTTAAACTGCTATTATGGACTAGTTTTCATCACGAAATAATAAAAAAATGAATCTTTTTGCCGTACGAAAATTAACTCCTCGTTTAGGGCCAATTATAAGGGAGGGGCTTGAAAAATTTGCCGTGTTTAGTTCAAACTTTAGCATGTCGGGATTCTTTTACTCAACGATTTTCGCCAAGTAATTACTTTAGGTTTAACGCAAAAATATGTAGATGAACATCAGTCAGATAGACAGACGAATCGACGTGTATGCAAACAAATGATTCTGAATTGGTCGTTATAATAAAATGTGGATCTATTTTCAGTCCTCCTCGGTGTTATATACATCGGCACAATCCCAATATAATTTATACCGCAAGCGGTGTAGGGTATCTAAAGAGTATTTTATAGCATGTTGAATACGTACGGTGCGCCTGGATGTGGTTTATGTTCATAACAATTTATTTTAACGAAATACGATGACGTATTTGGGTCAGCAAATAATATTGTGTCCCTTACGTTATAGTCATGAAATAGGGTGGTTTCATTTACATACATAGCATTACACATGTTCTCAACACTATCGTAAAGTTTGCTTAGTTTTTATACCATACAATTAAACAGTCAATTTCGTTTTCAAAAGTTTCCTGCACGGGTCTCCCAACAACTCATTTATATTGCAGCAATTTTGCTCGAGTATCCAGCCCGTTGTCATCAGTTATGGTTGATAGTCTTGTGTATTGAGTTTATCGTTGTGTTACAGTAATTCGTAATACGTCATATGTCCCGGATTCTACCATATAGAGGACATTGGAATCTGATTTTACTTATTGTGTTGACATCTCGTTTCCACTAAACCGTGGTGTGGTCTTTAACATTTTCCATTTTCAAAATATATCCCTTTTTATGAGCCATGACAATACAATGCAATCAAGAATTCCCATTATATCTTCGAGCAGCCTTCCGCTCGCTAACTTGGCAGCTTTCTCTGTGCCTATGGCGCTGGTTTTCCTGACTGTTGCATCCTTTTCATGTCACATTAATGAGCATCGATAGTTGGATGGATCATATTTAGTTGGATCATATTTTACCGTTAAGTATCATCTTCCTCCAGTTATTGCTGACAATTCTCAAATATGTTTCCGTTTTCTTCAATGTTGTCAATACTGGGGTCGCCACTTAAATGGCCGAGTATAAATTTTACATGCTATAATGTTTCCAGTATGTTTACTTGAAAATTTTGCAAGAATACCTTGGCTGTCTGCTGCTTTTTTACTTTTTGAGTAAATAGAGAAAAGCAATATATGGTGCAAATGCTTAGGCACAGTTAGACAAGAATTCTTTCATTTCCATTAATACGAGCATGTATGGCACTATTGCCTGTAGATTTGCTTTCATAGATGATAAGAATGCAGCTCAATGTATGCCATAAATATCACTCTTTGACAAATGCTCATATACGAGCATCGTTATCTCTGAGCACAACCGATAAGGAATTTTTTACAAACCAGGTATAGTATTAGGTTTAAGTCCACGTTGGAAATCTGCGGAATCGGGCCTAGATAGATAGGCTAAGGTATAAATTTTTCTTTCAAACTTTTGGCGGCTTGTACCTCTTCCATTTATTTTGCTTATCACTTTCATGTCTGGCTTTTACATTATTCGAGCAAGCAAATAAACATAAAACCTAGATTGGGAATATCTGAAGACAGTGGAATGAAAGAAAAGCTTGCGAAAAATTCAATATCGAAATCGCATGATTGAAAAAAGGAATTATCCTGAGGATAGTTCCTTGCTGTCGAGACTGTTGTACCCTTAAGAAAATAGAGGACAAATAATTCGACTTATTCTGTCTTTATTCTGTTAAAAAGACAGACTCTCGCGAGCTAGAAAATATTAATTACAGGCAAGTAAATGAAAATGAGTATGTTTACTCAGGACCTTACACTAATCAAGGCAATATATTTCAAGAGGGACTTTGAGGCACTTTTTAGCTTACGAAGGTTAAATAAATATATAGGAGGGAATTTATCCTTTATTCAAAGTGTTAATATTTTTAACTGGTAAATATTGTTGTTGTAATACTCGTTCTGCGCTTTGTTAATGAATGCATTAATATCATTCATCGTTACTCGTTAACTCGTGATTTATTCGTGGGGTCTATAATGATGGACACAAGAGAAATTTTTATCCTCAGGAGGATCAAGATAAATAGAAAGTGATGAGCGAAGTGTAGAAAGTAATTTAATTCTTTTAATCCTTAATAAGTCAAGCAAAATCAGATCTCACTAATACTTCAAAGAACAATGTTCATAATCATGACGTCATATGTACCTTTGATTCCCTACACAATCTATGGCGCGAGTTTACATCGAGTTTGTGCATTGTGGATAAATATATATAAAAAGCAAAAGGAGCTTAAAAGACCTAATGGCCAATTTTGTTTCGAATGCGAAATGGATAATAGAGTGACAATATTTGGAAAAGTATATGCAAGTATATGCAAAAGTGTATGCAATCGAAAAGGAAAATTATATAATATATAGAATATATTATAAAATAGCGATACCGCGACGCGGTCTCAACGCAAGGGCTCTGCGGCAAGCTGTGTAACTAGTAAAAATTTTAATTAAACAAAAAGTAACTAAATATATAAGTAGGCGAGTAGGCAAAGGATTGCGGCACTAACAACTTTATGATCGCGTGTTCAAGTCTCAAGTGCGCTAGAGTTTTCAATACAAGCGGGAGGATATGATCAATATTATCCAGCAGCCTTTAAATTCATACTTTGTTAATTTATAATTAATGAACAACGAATAAAGAATAAAAGTTATTTAGTCTCTTTGTACGCGCATGTAACTGAAGAAGCATGATGCAGGGGAAAAATTCCAATGTTCGACCAAAACAAAAAGCCCATCTTTCCTTAATAGATAATATTTATTAATTTAATGATCGGAAGTCTGACATGCCTTTAAAATGTTATCGTAAGCATATGGTAAAAGTTTTAGTAAAAGGTATGAAAATTCTACGAGCGTTAAAGAACTGTAATGTGACAAAGACGCGAGATGTGAAGTTCCAAGTAGCCGTAATAATGCTATCCAATTACTTGTCGTAATCTATACACAGGAATGTATTCATACACTCCGAAGGGTATTCTGAAGCTTCCTTTTTATCTGGGTGTTGCAAACGTGGTTTGAGTGTGAATATAATATTGGGTTTTTTGAAAAACCTACAGGACTATAGCGCCTTAAGATGAGTCCGGAATTATTCAGAAACTCAGAGTTCGGAATAATCTCCCAAGCCGATGCAACCACGTCTGTCTAACTGTCTATGAAAATTTTTGTCCCCACCGTGCAAGTCTCAATTTTCGCTACGCTCAGATGCAGTTTGGATAAAAAATTATG